ATGTATATATATATATATATATATATATATATATATATATATATATATATATATATATATATATATATATATATATATATATATATATATATATATATATATATATATATATATATATATATATATATATATATATATATATATATATATATATATGAGAAATATGGGTATGCTTGGTAGTGAGGTGGCACAATCCCCTCCACTCATTCAAATGGGGGACCACATTCACATGGGTTGAGGAGTGCATAGAGATATGCAATCATTTAAATGAGTAGAGGAAAACAATAGCCTTTTGTGCTCCACCCAGACAAGTTACCATATGCAGGAAAGTCATTAATGGTCCACAATATAGCCGCATGCATCCGGAAGATCTGTTTTTTGGAGGCATCATAAGTTACTACCCCATTGTCCCACAACTCCTTCAACTCGTCGACCAAAGGCCTCAAGAAAACATCAATGTCGTTCCCTGGTGCATGTGGTCCAAGAATAAGTAAGGACATCATGAAAAAAGATTCTTTCATACACAACCAGGGTGGCAAGTTGTAAGGCATAAGTATGACTGGCCACATACTATAGGCATTGCTCATGTTCCCAAAAGGGTTGAACCCATCACTAGCCAGTCCCAGCCTTACATTGCGGATCTCTTTTGCAAACTCAGGATGAATAAGATCAAATTCCTTCCACTCCTCAGTGTCAGCCGGATGTCTCACAATCCCGTCATCTACACGTTTATCCCTATACCATCTCATCTCTGTGGCCGTTTTCCTAGACATGTACAGCCTCCGCAACCTCGGAGTTAACGGAAAGTAATGCAACACCTTACGAGGGATCTTCATACCATTTCCACCAATGAACTTGTAGCTAGACTCCCCACATACAGGACACTTTATTAGGTGCGAGTTCTCCTTCCAAAACAGTACACAATCATGTTGGCATGCATCGATATGCTCATATCCCATGCCCAGATCACGCAACAACTTCTTCGTTTCATAAATTGACCCCGGAACCAAATGACCCTCTGGCAATAAGTCCATAAATATCTGTAAAATCATGTCGAATGACTTATTACTCCATCTATTCTTAACTTTCACATGAAGCATCTTGACAACAAATGCCAACAAAGTGAAGTTTTTGCAACCAGGATACATTTCACGCTGGGAAGCTTCTAGTAATTTTTTGAAGTTTCGAACATCATGATCCATCTCTACATCATCATCTTCCATATAAGTTTCTCTGTAATGGTCTTCCATTAATTCTGGATACTCATCTTTGTTATCATCATCGTTCTCATCCCTGTCATCACCGGAATCACCATGTTGATTATCAGGCAATTCTCCATGGTGCAACCAAATCTTATAGGATACCATAATCCCATATCGAACCAAATGATCTTGCACACTACCAAATTCACGCCAATCAAGATTCATGCATTTGTTGCATGGACACCGAATCATGCTACGCCCGCCTGCATTTACTTTTGCAAATTCAATAAAAGCATCAACTCCGGCCTGATACCGCAGACTTAATATATCCCTAATTAGTGTCATCCAACTCTTATCCATACCTGATTACAATTGGTGTAAATATAAAATCATATTAATTTATTATTATAAAATAAAAAGTAGCATCTCAAATAAATATGCAATAACAAATAAAAAATCGGTAACCTTTCATTCAGTCTTATTCTCTCAAAAAATAACTTCAAGTGGTAACTCAAGGCAACAGAGGGATTGACTCGTCGACGTCTAGCTAATTTTATGCATCGCCTGTAACTCATCTAAGTCAATTAAGGCGATACTTAATTTCATACTTGTAGCTTGCATGGCTAATTAACTCTCAGTCCTCACCTCAGCAATTTAATACTAGTCAGGAGTGGCGATGACTAATTCTCGCATATGCGGACTATAGAGTCTAGAGGACAACAAGCAAATTAGTAGTAATGTCAACTGCCACCGCATATGTACGAAAAGGCAGTTCATCCACTTGCTACGAATGGAATTTTTCGGCGGTAGGTAAGATATCTACCATGATTTGTTAAAAGAAAAGGGGGGTGAGAACAGTAAATATGTTTCCGGTCAAAATCTAGCTATGGTGTATTTGCTTTGGACAGTTTTGTTGGAATCAAGTTTAACGAGATCTATGAGACAAGTCGACACGTATTATTTTCTTGAGATTCTATCAAGTCAATGGGTAGCATATGGACAAATCATTTGTCCCAATTATACAAAATTACTTCAATCTGCTTCATTCAGTAAGGAGATAAATAAAACAAAAGGAAGGAAAAAGTAGAAGAGAAAAAGAAAAAGGAATAAAATGTTAAAACAATATTCAGCTAAGTTTTAGGGATGCTCAAAATAGATCAATAAGATTGTGGGTATTACTGTACCCTGCAACTTCAAGACGATATGTGCGTGATGATCATCATAACTTTTTGGACTGGACAAAGTAGGACTGCTTTCTTCTTCATCATGTTCAACCTTAAATACTTCAATCAAACATTGGTATAGGCATTGATTATTTATCTATAAAGTTAGAGCTGATATGGATAATATGTTTTCTTTCATTTTATTTTTTTGATTAAATGAGGGTTTGTTCCTCTACAATGTTAAGTTCAAAGTAAATATAGCTGCAGAAGATATGTACGAAATGTGAACGTGGGGGGAGGACCCACCACGTGACGCGTTTTTTTGCTAATTGGTTTCCACGTGAAACTGAAGCCCACCCGATTGATTAATTCATGCACCTATATATTCGGCTCTTAGGGTTTCAAGATTTTTGAGCGGAGGAGTGTGCAAGGGGCGGCTGCAAAGAAGCAAATAGCAGGGGTTTTTTTTGGCGGCTGCTGCAGACACAGAGAACAAAAGCTATAGGGATTTTGGCGGCTGACTGAGAGAAGAAGAAGCAAAGTCCTTTTTGTAATAGTTCTTTATTTTGTGCCCCCCTTTGAGAGAGTATTTGTGTGAGGGATCTGAGAGTTTGTGAGAGGGTTTTATTTGTGAGATTATAAAGCCTAGTTGTATCTCTCCCTCTAATAGTAGATCTCCCCCCTCCTTGTCCCGTGGACGTAGGCTATTTGCCGAACCACATAAAAGTTGTGTTCTTGTCGTGATTTGTAATAGCTTGTAGGATCCCTCGACAGGTCAGTCCTAGAACTGATGAGAGGAAGAGCCGATATCTCACTTGGTTGAGATATCCGCTTCAGATTCTTGTTTCCTTGGTGAGACGGGAATTCTTATCGATCTAATCTCTCTTGTTGTGCTGCCGAAGTGCTGCCGAAATTTCCGCTGCGCACAACAAGTGGTATCAGAGCTCCGGGTTGGATTTAGGAGCTTGTTCGAAGGATTCGCTGAAGGATTCCAATTTGAAGAATTAGATCGATAACATGGGAGAAACAAGCACATCGGGATCGTCTCTTTCGAAGGCGATACAGAGTCTGAGCATCAATAATACAAAAATTGATCTTCCGAAGTTCGACGGCAAGATCAATTTCGGTTTGTGGAGGTGTCAGGTGATGGACGCCTTGGATGTACAAAATTTGGAGGAGACTCTTGAGTTACAAGAGAAACCCGCTGATATAGAGGACAATGTTTGGAAGAAAATGAATAGTAGGGCTTGTGGAGTTATTCGGTCATGCTTGACGCCGGATCTTATTTATGACGTAATGAACGAGACGTCGGCGAAGAGAATGTGGGAAACACTCAATGAGAAGTATCTGACGAAGAGCATTGAGAATCGGCTTCACTTGAAGAAGAGGTTTTACCAATTCAAGATGAAGAGGGGAGTTTCCATTCGGGAGCATGTTAACAACTTCACGAAGCTAATTTCGGATATGGCCAATGTAGATATCATGGTTGAGGATGAAGACAAGGCGATGCTACTATTGTGTTCGTTGCCGGAGGATGATTTTGAAACGTTTGTTCTCACTATGATAAATGGAAGAACTACGGTTAGCTACAAGGAGGTGACCTCAGCTTTGGTGAATTATGAGTTGAGGAAGAGTGATGGCGAACCCTCCGAGAAGGCATCAGGAGATGCATTAGCAGTTCGAGGCCGTGATCCAAACCGGTTTGTTACGCTGACTCTACGGAGTGGATGATGGATTCTGGTGCTACATACCATATTTGCCCTAGGAGGGATTGGTTCTCCAGCTTTGAGGAGTTGGAAAGAGGGGATGTCGTGCTCATGGGTAATGATCACGTATGCCCTATTGGTGGTATTGGTACAGTACGGATCCGGATGTGTGACGGGGTGACTCGGGAGCTGAAGGAAGTGAGATTCGTTCCTCAGTTGACGAAGAATATCATTTCGCTTGGAACTTTGGAGGCAGCTGGCTATAAGGTGATCTTGGAGAATGCGACTCTGAAGGTCACAAAGGGGTCCATGGTGGTGATGCGAGGTGTCAGGGAAAACAACCTTTACTACTTGAAGGGCAAGACAATAACTGGGGGTCTGGCAGCTTCGATTACCACAGAGAAAGATACTACCAGTTTATGGCACATGAGATTGGGACACACTGGTGATAAGTCCCTACAGGTATTGGCGAAGCAGGGGCTATTGAAGGGTGCGAAGACCTGCAAGATGGAGCTGTGTGAACATTGCATACTTGGGAAGAAGACAAGAGTGAAATTCAGCACCGCTATTCACAATACCCAAGGTATATTGGACTATATTCACACAGATGTTTGGGGCCCTTCCAAGCACACATCACTTGGTGGGGCCAACTATTTTGTCACTTTCATTGATGATTATTCCAGGAGAAATTGGGTATACCCGATGAAGCATAAACATCAGGTCCTGGATATTTTTGTGGAGTGGAAGAAGAAAGTGGAGCTGCAGACAGGTAGAAAGGTAAAAACTCTTCGTTCAGACAATGGAGGAGAGTATAAGAGTGATCCATTTCTGCAGTTTTTCCGGGATCACGGTATTAGACGACACTTCACAGTACGTGAGACACCGTAACAGAACGGGGTGGCTGAAAGGTTGAACCGTACCTTGCTGGAGAAGGTGAGATGTATGATGACACATAGTGGATTGTCAAGATCCTTTTGGGCCGAAGCGTTGATTTATGCGAGCCATCTCGTGAATAGGTTGCCGTACACTGCGATACAGGGGAAGACTCCGTTGGAGCGTTGGTCTGGTTCGGTAGCTAGTGACTATGAGTCGCTTCGGATATTTGGGTATCCTGTTTATTACCATGTCAGTGATGGTAAATTGAATCCGAGGGTGAGGAAAGCAGTCTTTGTGGGATTTAGAGATGGAGTTAAAGGCTTCAAGTTATGGGATCCACAGGACAAGAAGATAGTTATTAGCAGGGATGTCACATTTGACGAGGCGTACATGATGAAGCCTCAAGTTTCTCAGCAGGTGGAGGAAGACCAGACAGTTGAGATATCGCAGGAGGTGGAGGATGATGTGACTCCACCCACTCCAGATAACATTGTATCCATTGAGGCTCCTACAGAAGTGACACTGGGAGGAGATGAGATGACAACCGGGTATTTAGAGGATACAGTGGATGTTGGAACTCAGGAACATGGTCATGTTCAGGAGTCCATTACAGCTAATAGACCAAGAAGAAACATTCGTCGGCCAGCTAGATATGACGATGTCATGGTTGCATATGCTTTATCAGCAGAAGTCGTTGATGATTTGGTTCCTTTTACATTCAAGGAAGCAGAGTCAAGCTCTGATTCGAATAGGTGGAGGGAAGCCATGGAGGAAGAGATGCAGTCTCTTCATAAGAACGACACTTGGGAACTTGCAAAGCTACCGAAAGGTAAGAAGGCTATTGGATGCAAGTGGGTATATGCAAAGAAAGATGGATCTTCTATTGGGGAAATTAGATTCAAAGCCAGATTGGTTGCCAAGGGATATGCACAGCTAGAGGGCGTTGATTACAACGAGGTATTTTCACCTGTTGTGAAGCATTCGTCGATTCGTATTTTATTGGCATTGGTGGCACAGCTGGATTTGGATTTGGTCCAAATGGATGTGAAAACAGCCTTTCTACATGGAGATTTAGAAGAGGAGATCTACATGACACAACCTATGGGGTTCAAAGCTGCAAGAAAGGAAGAATTGGTATGCAAGCTGAAGAAGTCTCTTTACGGATTGAAGCAATCGTCGCGACAATGGTACAAGAGATTCGACGACTTTATAATTGACCGAGGGTACACGAGGAGCCCATATGACCCGTGTGTTTACATGCACAAGCTACAGAATGGTGAGTATATCTATTTGCTTTTATATGTTGACGATATGCTCATAGCTTCCAGAAATACTTCAGCTATTAGAAAGTTGAAAAAGGAACTTTCATCCGAATTTGAGATGAAGGATCTTGGAGAAGAAAAGAAGATATTGGGTATGGAGATCGAGAGAGACAAGGTGAAGGGGAGGTTGAAGTTGACACAGAGGAGTTACTTGCAGAAGATGCTGAAGAAATTCAGTTATGATGGCAATGCCAAGGCGGTGAGTACTCCATTAGCTCCCCACTTTAAGCTATCAGCTAAGATATCACCTGTTTCAGTTGAGGACCGGGAATACATGTCCAAAGTTCCATATG